ACGTTCATGTATCGTTCCCTAAATATGAACGTGAACGGGTGTCTCCGTTGAACTGTTCTCAGATTGATTTTTAGTTTTATTGAATAATTCTATAAGTTCAAATTTATTAACTATAATTCTTTTTGAATAATATTCATTTTCCATACAATTTAAGGGGAAGAAACATCCAAAACTTAGAATAAATGCATTTTGTTTTATTAATATATCATAATATATATATATATATTTAATTTATGTCAATTTCTATACTTGATCTATGATGTATTCTAAACACATTTTATTCTCTATCTAGGCCTCACACTTTTGCTCTTCTTCAATCATTTTACTTAAGATGCATGGTATAAATAATATGTTATATCTATTCACTAGAATATCATGACTCACTGCATCAGTATTGACATCGTCTATAAGCTTTCTTTTATTTGAAATAGATTTTCAACTTTCTTTCCTTTTTTATACTTCACTTCACCTGATTTAGAAGGCTTACCCCATTCCTGATGAAAGGTGGTCTTTGATAATCTTTCTTCGTCATTAATATAATAAATAGTAGCAGCTATGTGTTTGCATTTTTTTCCAGCTCCAGCTGGACACTCACAAGTACAATCAATTACATTTCTCAAGGGATCAATCTTAGATAGTAAAAAAAACAAATAGTACCTAATTGTGAATTAAACTATCCAGTACAATTGAATTTAAAATACAAGTTTACCTCCAATGTCACTTTATAAGGTGGTAATGTAACAAACATTTGTCTAATTACATAACAAGATATAAATATGAATATACATTTGGCTKTTGATTTTCRGTTACTAAATGAACATGTTTGCTTTCAACTAGTTTTAATCCTTTATTATTTTTGAATTTATAACCATAATTTATRCTTTGMAATCCATATTTTAGAATGATTTCAGGTTGTATCATATTTATATATAGAAGAAGTAAATTTACTAGCTAACGATCTAACAATCACAATTTAAAAAAATTGTTATTATCTACCTATTTTCAATTTTGTATTTTTGTAATGAACAGTAATTATCATGATATTACAGTAGATATAAATCATTATTATATCAATTATTGATAAATATGATGAAAAATATAGATATTAAATAATTATTTAATCTACTTCGTGTAAGAACCACAATCTGTAAAAATAGTAATATTATGTACATAAAATCTCAATATCCCAATTATAAAAGAACTTTGGGAGTTTTAAACCAGAGCGCGCTGTTTTCCATCACATGCACGGTGCCTATTATAGTGGCTACAAATATTATTACCAGTGGTAACCTCGAAATACAAATCTTAGAATAAGCTTATATTATTTTTTCATAATTGAACATATTTTGTCTAAACGTGTATATTATAATTGATAACTATCTCATATTAGTCATATTATATTCGCTTTTGTAAAATATTATATTCGTTGTCAAATAATAATTGTGTCAAATGGATTCTTGCATAATACACGTAGGTACTGTAAATATTAAGTTTTTCGCACGATCTAATATGACTAAAATTTTTACGAATTTTTAACAGATCGAAAAAGATATTCCATTTGAAAAAACAAATACAGTTTATCAATTTAAAAACAAAAAAGAACTTGAAATGACTTATAATTATTTTTTTATTTCAATTTATATACATCTCAGGCCGGAATGTTTTTTATGAAAACTACCACGGAACGGACTTTAGTAAGGCGATTAGATTTTATTTTGCAATTCCACGATAAAATGTTATTTAATTACTTTTATATTTAATAAGTTATCATATAATAAGTCAAATTAAATGTGTTTGAAGTTCAAATTTTTAAAAAATTGAATATTAACACAATAAATAACGATTTTAGTCATTTTTTTTTATATTTAAAAATATCATTTTTGGGAATATTATTGTTTTAGAGTATATTATAATATTTTATAATGCTTTTCCATAAAATAATTTGTAATTTTTTTTTTTAAGGAACTCAAAAAAAAAACAGAATAAAGAAGAAAATTATAAAAGAAATAAAAACATTTCAAACAAAATACTACAGCAAGACGAATCATTATTACTGTCAAACATTACCACATGATTTGGACGCCTTGCCGGGGATATCGGCATCTTTATCGCAAGGATATGACATGCCAAAATAATTTTTTGAGAAAGGAACTGCTCCACCTGCAAATTCAGTAGGCAAGAGCGTCCATCTTCGAAAATGCAAGGGGGACACTATATTTTTTAAAATTAAATTAACTATTCTGTTAACCTGTTAACTGCTATGTGTAACTTTAATAGCGTAATATTAGATAACTGTATAGTGTATTCATACAATACTATTTATTAATTTATCATAGCTATATATAATTATTTATAAAACAAATAATAGTAGGTAGTTCAATTTTTAATAAAACGTAAAATATATAATATAAATAATTCACTTTATTAATACAATAAGTGTAAATTGACAATTATTAGATACTTAAATAATAATTATATAATATAAAATATTATTAAACGTTAAAATAAAAACTGCAAATTCCTCTTATTTTTGGAAAATTCGTCCACAACATTTTGGATTAAATTTAAATCATYAATTTTCTGTCTATGTATACTAAGTATACTAAGTACCTATACATAGTCCAGATAGTCTCTGCTCCATCATTGTAGACCTTTACAATGTTTTTACACGGCGAAGCGTAGGTACTATATAAATCTTTCGATCGTACATATGTTGTAGGAGGTATGATGTTCATGTAAATTATGATTCAGATGACAACGAGTGATACGTAATAACCACGATTTAAGATAGTTTTAGATAACATTGGACTCGTCGCATACATAGAGTTGTACGCTATGGCATAGATTATATAAGAATGGATAGGACATGATGTGTATAGTGGCTTCGCTAGAGGTTGCGGTCTTTTTGAGGAAGAGAGAAAGTTCAATATCTACGAGAGAGATAGACTATAAGAATTCTTTATTGAGG